GCTGAGTTCGCCTAGTTGTGGCTGCTGTGAAGGAGGGAAACTAAGCTAAGGCTACCCTAAAGAAAAAGATGCCACCATCTTTTTGGCAGAAAAATTTATTCTGCAGCAAATTTACAGCTCCATATTGCCAGTCGTCATGCACTGTTGTCAAGATATGACTATTCTAACTGGGAGGCAGTCTCTCAATTTGGGAATAAACTGCCGGAAGGTTCCAAAAGAACAGATTTCAGTGCCTTGTTCCTGCCTCTTCTTTCAATCAGTTAGTCAGGCCTCCTTGGACACAACAGATTCTGCAGCCATGGCATAGGCAGTAATTATGCACTGTTCCTCCTGGTTGTAGTCCTCGGGGATTCCTTTGGAGGTGTGACACACAATTGAGAACCTATCCTTGTGCTCATCTAAAACAGATGAGGCTTTGCACATGCAGAAGAACTCAAGTGGTTTAGAAGTCTTTGGGTCTCTACACTCTGGTTACCATGAGGACGAAATATCATCAATACCTCCTCAACACAGTGATTTTAGCTTCAGTGTTCCACATAGAGATTTTTCCACTGGCGGATCTGTTGGCAACTCAAAGTGTCTCCATTTCTGTTCCAGGGTGGGTCACAGCCATGGATCAATATCCAATGCTTTCCTGTTTCTGTGGGACAAAAACCTATTTGTATGGACATCCACCAGTGCTTCTGATCCTCAGTCATTCTCAAGCTGAAACAAGATCATGGCAGAATGATCCTCATAGTGACAGCCTGGCCAAGACAGCCATAGTATTCAGACCTATGCAAGCTGTTGACTTGAGAACCTTTGCTGTTACTAATAACCAGAGACCTCATCACAGAGATCCATAGCCGGGCACTGCACTCGAATCCTCAAATGCTGCACAACATGGCATAGTTTATCACTGGTAAAATGCAGAGGAGGCTCACTGCTCAGTTGCAGTCCGGAATGTTCTCCTTAACAGCAGAAAACCTCCCACAAAAGCTACTTATCTGTGGAAGTGGAAATGGTTCTCCGTCTGGGCAGCCTATTATAATATGTCACCTACTCAGACATTCTGGACTATCTCTTATATGTTAAGGAGTCAGATGTAGCCCTCAGCTTCTTTAGGGTGCATCTGGTGGCATCTCAGTGTTTCTCCCTCAAATCAATTCCTGTTTTTACTCACCCTATCACAACCTGAAAGGGCTAGATAGGCAGAAACAATCTATCAGGGATCCAGCACTATTATGGGATTTGAATTCAGTGTTGTCTGTTCTCATGGACCCTTTCAGCAAAGGTAGCTTTTTTTTTTAGTGGCCATCATCTCCACTGGGGGTGGAGGGGAGTGAATGCATTGGTCACTGATCTGCCATACGCAGTTTTCTACAAGGACAAGGTTCAATTTAGACCACATCCTAAGTTCCCACCTGAATCAGTCTATATAACTGCTAGTTTTCATGAAGCTTTCACATCCAGTACTTTCTTATCTTAAAACTAACACACTTTAAATTAAGGTTATCCAATTACTAGAGTACATAATGGGATAGCCAGGAACAATTCTTCATTAGCTTTCATATCATCCGCATATAAAGTAAGTTCATTTCTAAACACTAAATACAGGCCTTTTGACCTAATGTTAATTAAGTAGAGTCGTATACATAATATAAAGGTAATTACAGAGTTACAGGACATGAAAAAGGATATAGCAACAACAGGTTAATTTAGTTACACTAGTGTACATCAAACAGGATGTAGATAGATGAAGACAAATACAATTAACATCCATTTTAACAAGTGAATTGTCCAGGTATTTTAACACTCCTTTGAAGTTCACCCACCAGTGAATTGCCCAAGGGCTCTGATCTTAGCTGATCTGTCAGCATCACACCCCAATTTATTTATGTTTTACCTTAAACCACCACTTCTGTAAACCACACAGCATTTGTGAGCACTTTTAGTGAAACAAAAATAGGGTTGTATAATAAAGAATGAAGATTGAACTAGAAATAAGAGAGAAGTGATGGAGGAAAATTGTTACAACACAAAACAAAATAATAAAATGCAAATGATACGTGTACACTTATCAATAGTCTCCTTTCCTTTATAATAAAGTAATTCCCCCCTCCCCAAGTTCAGTCTGTTGCAGAACTAACGGTTTCACAAGGACCAAAATCCAAACATTCATGAAGCCCTTCCCCTCCCCCCCCCAGCTCCTTAAGAGGTTTCCTCAGTGAATGAATACTGAGTGCCTTTCTCTACACTCTGTTATACTGAAACAACCTTTTGCCTTTGTTCATAGCCAAGGCAATCTCCTGCCTGCTATTATGTTCCTTTTCACCTCCAAGTGGTTTTGATTATTTACAAGTTTCTTTGATGGTTTTCCATTGACTGTCCATGGTGTAGCAAAGCTAGACAATAGAACCTTGTATTACATCAGCAGCTGACTAGGGAGGGGTAATAACTCCTGTTGCTTGAATGGGCCATCTCCAACACACATTACCCTGGTGACTAATTTTTACCCCAAGTCCATAAAGCATATGTTATGTTATTCCTTATATATTATCTATCCAGGCTTCTTGCAGTGATTGAGTCTTGACAAGTTATGTGCCTTCTATAGATACCTTAATGTTACTCTTTATAGATAAATATTCTGCAAGACGAGTTTGTCAGGTCTGAAGTGAGAGTTGTTTCCAATGACCCTTTGCCAAGGAGCCTCTGTCACTTGGGGTATGTCTACACAGCAGCCAGACACCTGGCAAGAATTGTTACTGGCTATACATATCCATAGATGTTAATGGTAACAATTGCTTTGCACAGAGTAGGCAGGACATATTGGTTGTGTCACCCGTTTCCAAGTCAAGCTGGGTTTCACCGTGCCCGTTCTGTGAATGCAATGGTTTAATTCTCTACAGAGGATGGAGAAATTTGGGCCGACTAGAAGGGACCTTCTCTCACTAAGTTGATAAGCAAATATGGAACCAGAGCTGGCTGAAACTCAGGACTTGGGTTCAGTCTGAGTGGCTAGCTAATCTGGCACTGTGGTCCCTATGTCCCAGGGTCCCCAGACCTGGAGTAGCCTGCACAGCAAGGCTCCCTGCTGTTGATCTGGCAGGGAATTCTGTCCATGACTCAGCAAGTTTGTCAAACCTGACTGACTGTCACAAGAAATTTCTGGTTCAACAAATCAGCATTTTTCAAAGCAACTTGGTTTTGTCAGAAAATTTCCAACCACCTCGACTTGGAACTCTTAGGCCCTTAAGATAGATGAAGACAAGACACTATCATCTACAGTAGAAAGTTGTATGTATCTAATATAGTACCGCTTCGTTATATAACATAACTCGATCCAATACTAAATTTTCCTGCTAACTAGTTTGAGGTAGTTAATAATGTCAGCTACTACATCTTAAGTCTTGATTTAACTTCGTAGGTACTGTCACCTATCATCACTCTGATATCCTGTTTTTCTGTTGTTTTTCCTGTCAGTTTCAACATCTTTTTGCTTTTAGAGTGCACTCTCTTGGTATCTTACCATATAGCAGGAGTTCCTTGCCTGCATCTGGTTGTAGGTATATGTGAACATGGCATTAGCTATGTGGTGCTGTATTTTACTTTGTTTTGTCTAAATGTAGACCACTGTACTTTAAAAATGAAAACAATAAAGTCCATATGAAAAGAGAATAAGCATTATAAGAGCATGAATCTCTTATCTAGGGAGGCCAGAAGCTACTTCACTCTGAGGAAGAAAAGAAGTAAACTTTGCTTATTTCCACACTTAGATAAATAAACTTATGCGAACAGTGAGTGCTAAGGGAATGAAATGAGGTTAGAGAGGCCACCATCTGTAAAAACAGAGGACTTTGAGCCTATGTCAGAGGATCGAGGAACTCAGATGTACAGTGCATCTATACAACCAAGAGCTCAGCAGCAGATGTAAGAGGGAGGAGAACTAGCTCTCAAAATCTGAGGGTGGATCATCAAAAAAGAATTTTACTGCACAAGTAGGTGCAACAAAGCAAGGATTGGGATCTCAGCTTCCAAGTTGGTGGTAGTCGGCATCTGATACTAATCTTTGCTGTCTCAAACACCAATATTGTTAGTCTAAGTGATAAATCACCATATTAGAACATGCAGAGACCTGCCTGGCTCACTGCAAGTTGGCTTTATTTGTGTTTTAAGGTTACAATCAATGGGCCTGATTCTGCAACCCTTACTCAGGCGGGAAGTCCCATTGTGGTCAGTGGGGCTATTAATAAAGTCATGTAAGTCCTACTCAGTGTAAGTAAAGGATGTAGCTTGTGTTTCTCTCAGCATCCTCCCCAGTTCCTCAGTCTCAGATATTGGTTGTCAGAGGTGGTATTTTATTTGGAAAGTTTCATGAAAATATGTTTGCGTGTAGTCATGAATTATTAGCTCAGCTTTAAATTAGATGGTCTGTTACACACCTACTTATGGTTGAGATTCAAGAGATGGCATATAGTCCGGTAGGTCTCTTGGTGGCTGTTGTGTATACATCAAATTAAAACAAGAAAGCTAGCTTTACTAGAAATGGCAGTAATTAATGTTTTTGCAAGAGATGTTGTCGACAGCGCTGATCCTGTAAAGATTTAATCACATCCTTATTTATAAACACGAGTAATGCCATCAATTCATCTGGGCCTATTCACTTCCTCAAAACTAAGCACATAAGTCTTTACAGGATTGGTATCTGTTTTACAAGTAAAACCAAAATAGTTAATATAACAAAATCCCTTTGATCTGCAATCTTGTAACCCAAAAGGGAAAAAAATATTGATTTGAATTAAGGTTTTATGCTTTTTCACTACAATTGATCAAAAATGATGACTCTGATGGATAACCTACTGATCCATTAAATACTTGAAGTTGTAGCTTTTTGGTTATTGCTTAGAGCCTCATAAGCACTTCATTCTGACAGGGTCTGTGTTTTAGTGGGTCTGTGTTTATGCTACCTATGAATTATTCCTGTATACTTCCAAACAAAAAAATTCTCTTTTTCCTTGTAGGAATCCAGAAGCTTTGAAGGCACAAGAAGAAAAGGTAGGAAAAATATAGGTTTCCCCCCGCCCCCAATTTGTTTGTCACTGTTGATTGATCTTGAGGTAACATGTTGAAACAAACGTGAACCTACAAACTTGAAAGAGGCTACCGTTGTGCAAATTTTCAAGAGCCTGCTTCATAACATTTGTCTTCCAGATTTTATGAAAACCCACCTCCAGATGTTTTCATGGAAAAATAATTCAATGCAAAGTAGCATGACAGAGTCTTGGGGATGTGTGAGATGGGTGTTTTTTTTTTCTTTCCTCCTAATGTCACTTAAAAACACACTAGCTGACTAGGGGATTCAGGCTCACACCTTGAAATCTGCTAGGGAGAAAAAAGAATTACTTGGCCCAAATCCACTGCAGTTGGTGCTCTGAGAATTTCCATTGCAGGAAGGGGAAATGTCAGTGTTTGAGATACTCCCACTAAGGCAGCCTTGAAAATAACAGAGGTGGGCATTGATCACCAGCTTGTTGTGGACATCATCTTTATGAATAATTAGGACAAGTAAATATCCATCTTCCCATGAGCTGGCACAAAGGTACCACGTATATACAAGGTAGCTCTCTGTAATGCTTTTTATCTATTCAATTAAAGGTACTTTAAATTCTATGAATAAAACCCATTATATTTTACTGAAATGAAATTGAAAATCCTGTTATCCTTGTTGCTCATGTAAGTTGCTATTTAATGTATTTCTCAAAAAGATATTTGCATATTTTTTTTTTTTTTTTTTTTTACCCAAATCGTGATGCTAGAATATTCCCCATGAGCCAACTAGTTGGAAGCAACAGATAAAGGTACCTGATAGTTTAGTGGGGTTTTGGAACAGTAAAAGAGGAGGATGTTTTGCAAATATTGCCTGGGGAGGTGGCTCAATTGTATAAGAGGGAAAGAGAAAATTATAAGGTTGGGATGAGGAAGGTTAGAAGTAAAGATGGAACATGTGATGCTCTGACTTCCCTGTACTGCCACAAATGCAATTTCTCTCTTTGGTTCAGGATTTGGGCAAAAGTGTGATACTAAATGGCACACAGGAGAGTATTAGGTCTGCGAGCAGGTTACTTATTGTAATTGCTAAAGTCCATCTATACAGGTGTTTTTAAAACCAGCATTTTACCTGAACTGACAGTGAGGGGGGACCCACAATGGATGCAGTGAGTGGCCAGTTTAAATAAATTCTTGTCAGCTGCCTCTCCAGACGTCAACAAGATGTCACAGACAATTACATGATTGCTTTGTGAATAAAGACCACCCAGGGCTTAAAAAGGAAAGGGTGAATGCCATCAGGAGGTACTGACTAATAATCACTAGATTTTTTTAACATGCATCCACAATTGCGTGGATACAGCCAGTGGCTATAGACTCCAGGAAAGAAGGAAGAGGGTGATGAGGGATGCCATCACCAAATGGGTAATAACAGCTATAGCAATTAGAAAGTTTGTTCAAAGGTACATAAATGTTAAATAAAAGAGTCATGCCAGTGTACTGCTACTTGAGCTCAGATCCCACTTCCTAAAACTGTTTTTGAATTAGCGACTAATTGGCAGCTGTCTCTAGCAGCTCTTTTATTGTTATAGACAGATGGAGGAAAATCAGCTATCAAAGAACTCATTCTGTTTATCATTAATTTTGATTTTGTTTAGCAGATGTTTTCTGGATCTCTCAGTCACCTGCCTAATCTGTTTTGGTATAATGTGAAGTGGGTAACAGTTATCCATTAAACAGATTAATAAATTCCCTAATTTCATTCTGGTAGCTTCCTTTATTGCTCCAGACATACAGAATTCTGAGAAGCAGGCTGTAAACCATCCTGGGTTTTATTGTATCTTGGATAATAAAAGGTCAATTTAAAATGTATGTTGCCATCTGGGCAGATATTGAGCATTTGTTTTTCTTTGTAGTAGGTTTGTATAAGAAGGAGTTCTGTAGGTTCCCAAGAAAGTAGGTCAAACTGAAACAGTAGAGAGATGTTATGTATTTTTGTTATATGACCATTGTTAAAGGAAAAATCTGATTGGCTGAGGTGCATGTATCTGCCCTAACAGTAGCTGGCACTCAAGAGTTAACTTGCTAAAAAGTGTATCGCTCCTTTAAAAAAAAAAAAAAAAAAAAAATCAAGATACCCATAAATTGTAGGTGGTTGAAATTACTTAGGTAGGAATTTTCAAAAGTGCACACCATTGGCCTAACTCTGCTCCTGCTGAAGTCAATGAGAGTTTTACCATTGATTTAAGTGAGACCAGAATTAGGCCAACGCTGATTACTTTTGAAAATCTCAGACTTGACATTGACATCTCTTAGGCAGATGGAGGTTTTACATAACTCTTTCAGATGGTTGAAGACGTTTATTCATATAACTCATATTACCTCACAACACATTGGGTATCAGTATAACCACATTTCCAGTTCTGTTGCTATTTATCCATATTGATATAAAGTACCAGACCTGCCAAAGAAGGTATGCTGTGGCCCAAACAAAGCTGTCTGTTCTCTTGACTGACAGTTTTGAGTCAATGCTGAATATGAGACCCCCTCAAGAAATGTGAGGTTATGTGCTTTGAAATTAATCCCTTATGAAACCATATATTACTGTGATCCTTTTTTAAATTCAGGCCAACAAGGTATAAGGTTCAACCATTTTCTGTTTTTTTTTTTTTTGTTGTTTTTGTTTTTTTCCTGGAGCAGTTTTACTACTGAAAATAGCCGAACCACAGTTCTATGCCCATAGTTTATTGAGGATGCAGATATTAGCTGCTAGATGTCTAACAATCTAATAATTCAGTTCTGTGCCTATGAAAATAAAGGCCATGAGCAAAACTTGCAAAATTGCCTATGGGCCAGACTTTTAAAGGTATTTAGGCATGGAGTGGTATTTTCAAAAGCATCTAGGCCCTAATTCCCACTGATTTCAAAGAGTGTTAGGTGCATTGGTGCTTTTCAAAAATCATACTTGGTGCCGGAATACCTTTAAAAATCTGGCCCTAAGTAATTTAGGACCCATTTTCAAAAGGGATTTAGGAGATGTAATCTCATTGAAAATCATTGAGATTTAGGCTCAAATCACTTAGAAAAGTGGGGGACTTAGGCTCCTAAGTTATTTAAGTGTTTTTGGAAATCCCCCTTTCCCCCGAATATCAGTTAATATTGTCTACAGTTCTCGTAAGTAAAATTGACATGGCCAATAACAATAGGTCTGATTCACCACTGCCTTGCATCTTGTGTGGTCATTGACACTGGGCAAAGTAGGTGTAAAATGCTCCTAAATAACTATATGGTAGTGTTTTATGCCCACTTGACACAAGTGTAAATGGTAACATGAGGAGCATGGCAGTCTAGAATCAAGCCCAATAAGTATTTCCAGTCACAAGCATGTTTTGTTGCATCACATTCATTTTCTCCAAGCCAGTCTCAGTGCCATGAATAAGATCTGTCAATATGAATTGCCCAGAATGTCGGCCTGCGATACAAACAGTCTATGTAAAGTGATTCTCCAGTTCTGGGGTAATTCAGCCTATCTGTAATCAAAGTATGTTTGTAGAATTACAAACAGCACAGAAGTCAAGAATTGAATGTTACCAAGCATGGTAGATGATATATATCTGATCACAGAAAAATGAGAGAGGATTTTCTAAACTCGATGGACATTTTTAGTCAGTGCTTCCACATATGTTATTCAGTGTCTTCCTGTCCTAAAAATCCCTTAAGCTGTTCCTGAATAAAACCGTTTGTCCTGTAATGCCGTTTGTAAAACAATGAGGAAAAATGGCATTAGAACAGGACATGAAGAGTGTTAAAAGAATATGATTTCTGCCTTGCACAGAAACATTTATTATACGTCTGTATTAAGAGATAGGATGATCCAATTTGAGATTTAGTCGTATAATGACCATTTGCACTGACACAATGGCTTTTATCTGAGGATTTCAAAACTAGAGCGGTCTGGGGGGAAAAAAATGTCCTGTGGAAAATTTCAACTTTTTGACAAAAAAATTAAAACTGAAAATTTTGGGCTGAAAACTGAATTTCTATTTGGAAAATTCCACCACGTTCTCCTCTTCCATTGAGCCTCTGTGATGGGAGTCAAATAGCATGATACATCATGTGAGATGTAGTCCATCTTGGGAGCCAACCCCATAGAGGAGAATGGGGCATGGGAAGCTGAATGACAGCTCTGGGGAGGCACCGTGGTTGCTCAGAAGGACATTGTTTATTTTGAACTGAAATGAAATTTTGATTTAGTTCCATAATGCAAAGCAAACTTTTTGACATTTCCAAATAGTTCTTGGTGGAATTTTTTCTTGGATCTCTGGGGTTCCATTTCTTAATTAAAAAATTACATTTTCTGTGGAAAGCAGACAATTTTTGTGACTAAAAATGTATTCCATTTTGATGGTTGTTGAAAAACAGTTCTGATGGAAATATTTTGACCAGACTTACTGAAAACTTTTCTACAAACGTCAAAGGGTTAATTGTGCCCATCCTTCAGGGCTGCCCAGAGGATTCAGGGGGCCCGGGGCAAAACAATTTTGGGGGCCCCTTCCATAAAAAAAAGTTGCAATTCTATAGAATACTATATTCTCGTGGGGGGCCCTGTGGGGCCCGGGGCCTGGGGCAAATTGCCCCACTTGCGCCCCCCTCTGGGCGGCCCTGCCATCCTTGCACAGGTACATGAGAGTAGGTGGAGGAAAGTAGATACAAAAAAGCCTTCCTTGTGTAGCTGTAGAAGTTCTAGTTCAGTCTGTGAGTTCCCTGTATATGAGGACTTCTCCAGGCTGGCACCAAAGGGAAATTAAGACCCTGCTCCAATGCCCATTTAAGTCAATGGATATATTTCCGTTAACTGCAGTGGGCACTGGATCAGATCCTAATTGCTATGGAGGGGCAATTCCTTCCTGACCACAGCTGCTGATGGTTTTATACCCTAAAGTGTGGACATTTATTTCCATCTTAATTCTAGTTAATGTAATTGCAGATTAATTTTTATTCATGTGTCT